GTGTGTGTGTGTGTGTGTGTGTGTGTGTGTGTGTGTGTGCTAGTTTACTCTCAGACGTAGACATCTTCAGACACATGACTTTGCCTTCCTTGTGATACTTCCACATTTGTCCCACTTCCTTTCTGGTCCCCTTCCCTCTTTTTACCTCCTGTACTCCCCCTCCTCTCTCCCCCCACTCCCCCTAACAAGCTGACACTGTTCATTTACAAGTTCGCTGTTTTTACTTCTAATAGGATCACGGGGACTTACACTGTCATCTGATAAAACTAAGCAGCTTGATAACTACACTGCCCCTTCTTAACCAATTTCTGCTCAGTCGGGATAACAGAGAAACTACGTGAGGTCAAAAATGTATCAACGTCATCTCAGGATAAGTTAGCACCTTAGTCCATCATTGCTTTATAAGCTTGTAGGCAGTGAGATGCAGTCTTGACTCTGAACTAAGAGGAATAGTTCAGAGAAAACACATTTCCTTTTTGTGCTTCAGCACTTAATTTATGGGTTTAAATCTATATGATTATTTGTGTTGTTTAAAGGCGGCTCTAATATTCTGTTATTACACCGAAACTGAATCTCTGCCATGGACCCGACACGCTTTGGCCTTGTTTAGATAACATGAGTGAATTATGGGCTGAAAACATACCTTTTCATTTTGTTAATGCATTGGCTACAGCAGTACTACACACTGTGCACTGCAGTGGTGTTGAAAACTTACAGCTGTCGATCAAAATCAGCTTTAAAATTACAGATTTTTTTATTCTACTCATTCTTCCTTGACAAAAACTAGATTACCCACAATGCATCTACACCTCTTTGGTATCCTGCTAGTGGGAGAGTAAAAAATGTTGATCAGCTCACTTGTCTCTTACTTCTTGCTGTCTTCACCCCCACATTAACTTCCCTGATGTCCGGAGGTGCGAAATAATGAAGTGTAAACACACTGTAACTGTTAGGTAGAGTTTCCAAACCCATGATTTACTTGAGTGTTTATTTTTACTCTTCGCTCCTTCATTTTAAGCCATATATCTTTACTTTGTACTCCTTACATTTTCTTTCACTGGTTACTTTAGTTTTAAATCCTTTGAGGGGAGTTATTGAGTGTTTAACATCCTAAATAGGAGCTGTAGCTCAGGAGGTGGAGGAGGTCGTCTAATTATAATTGGAAGGTTTGATTCCCGGCTCCTCCAATCAAAATGCTGAACCCTACGTTTCCCCTGATGCATTTGAGTGAGTGCGTGAATGGGTGAATGAAAAGATGCTATAAAAGTACCAGTTTACATAAAAACACAGTGCATCCAACACCAGTGCTTATCATGCATGACAGATGGAGAGTTGGAGATGTTAGGCAGCATCGTCTACAGTCTGTTTAGGTGTGAAGGCAAAGTCACTCGTTCAGCTTTAGACTTTGATGCTTTGAGCACATTTGAACTTTTAATAAAGAATTTGTATCAGTGCTTCATCTTCTCCCGGAGCCTTTTTTCCAACACAAGTGTCTGTACTTCTGCTTAAGTGAAGAATGCGCGTAGGTTGCCAACTCTGCTCAAGTGACACCAGATCACATGGACAGGACTCGCTCGTTGCCGCCGTAGATGGCGGATGAGAAAGCTCCAAATTTAGCAGGGTGATCTGCAGGTGAAGCGTTTGCTGTCTCCACTGACATGTAAATAGACGTTTTCCTGCGGGGCAGAAAAAACACAGTCCTTTGTAGCACAGAAGTGTAACATAAAAACAAAAAGACTGCGACGAGGAATTTGAAATGATCACGGGACAGTTTCTTCTCAAAAAACAAATTTGCATTTTGATCTCCCGTCAGAGCTGTGTCGACACGAATCTGAGGAAGGTCCGAGTTTTAGATTCAATTGTGCGTTTATCTGTATCTGTCTTTATTTTGAGATATGTCTGAGGTCAGAGGAAATCTCTTTAGCGTCTTTAGAGTCGGTGCTAATTTCTGTGACGCTAAGCCAGGGTCAACTTTGAGGTCTGTGGCCCTCAAACTCTGTGCCCTACCTCTCAGCCTTTTGCGCTGCGGTCTCTTGAGAAACACCACTCAGTCAAATGAAATATAACCCTGAGGTGATAACGTCCCTTTACGACTTCACTTACCACACGTTTCTTTTTCTGCTTCTATGAAATAGTTTGAATCTATGGTCTTAAATGGACGTGGCATTTTTAATCAGAGATTGTGTCGACGTTCTGTGTCACCACAGGTATTTTCTGTCACCTATTCCACTGTTTAAGCATATTTTAAATCTATTTAGTGGGTTTTCCAAAGCCGAGGCAGTTCTTGTCTTTGTTACAGTTTTACACTGCAGGAGAGTAAAAGCTTCAAGTTCCACAAAACAGGCTTATTTTGACTGATTTGATTAACTGTGGAGCCATTAAACCCAGAGGTGGGTCGAGTATCCACAAATTGTACTCAAGTAAGAGTAGCATCCCTTTAAAATATTATTACTCAAGTTAAAGTGAAAAGTAGTCGTCAAAAAAGTTACTCAAGTAAGAGTAAAAGAGCGAAAAGACTACTCAAGTAGCGAGTAACTGTTTGAAATGTCCGATTTATTTTTTTAAATAAATGTTATCAGACAAACAAAAATAAATAAATATACAAATTTTACCATTAATTTAAACCACACTCTAAAACATTAGCTCTCTTTCTAATCCTTTAAACAACCGACTGGCTTCCATTCATCTCTTTTACTGGGTGGTTCATGCAAACTTGCTTTATATGCAAATAAAACAAAAACTGAAATGACAGAACAATAAAAGGAGAATTAAAGGTTTAAATATCGCAGGCTGTCGATAATAAAAGTTTATGTCTAATAACGGAATAAAAACAGTGCGTATAAACGAGAAAAATCTGAAATTAAGATGGTAAATAATTACACGCATCAAGCCTGATCTGTTTAAAATGATATATTTTGAGTACATCAGTGGTTACGTTGTTGCACTTTGCTTTTTAGTTTGTAGTTAGTAAAACTAGTCATAGCACAACTTCCCTGCAAATCAGACAGAGACACAGAACATACATGTGGTATTTTACATTTTTATTACACAAAATAAACCTCGTGGTAAACTGTTTTCTTTTTGTTTTATTGTGTGCTTTACAATTTCACCTTTTCCTTTCTTGCGGTATTTTCACACAAAGGGGTCCCGGCAGTGATTAGTGAAAACTTTGAGCGATTCTTTTGTCTTTAAAACAATAAATTTATGAAAGAAAGTCTCGTCTGGGCTTCATTAGCCGGGCCTTCCCCGTCGGGGGTAAATGAAAATGACATTTAAAACAGTTACTTAAGCAGAAAACAGCCGCCAATCACTCTTAAAGGGGAAGGATTGCAATTAACAGCCCTCTCCTAATCCCCTCGTTTCACCTCCTACGCCGCCTCAGCTTTGTCCGCCTCTCTCTCTCCGGCTCACTCCTCTCCCACTCTCCTCTCTGAGCTGGAGTGGATAGCGTCTGAACTCAGCTACTAAATGCTCTTTACCATCGGAGTGCATCTGTTTGGGGCTGTTTGTCACACAAAGAGAACATATTTAGAGAAATGCTAGGCAATCAACGCCAGCTGAGCGACTGCAGGCGGTGCACATAGCGGATCTGGGAAGAGTGAAGTTGGAGGGAGAGCTGCTGAGAGGAACAGGTGGAGCACTGGCATCAGGAACTTCAGCACTTCAGCATATTTACTTCCAAGAGGTAAGCACTGCCACGGTCTCATTCGCCTCGAATTATTTACTTCTTATGTAACAAACACAGAATCATTTGCTGGAAATCCAACAACTTCATGACTTCTTTGTCAGGAAAAGTGCACGTTAGTCCAAAGATTCACCCAAAATGTTTGAAAATGTTAGCCTGAGTTTCCATAATATTAAGTCCAGCAGTAAAACGTTTTATAAGAAAGCCTCTTCGTGTATGAAGTTGACCCATAGTCACAATCTTATTAGAGGTTTGTTGGAGCACTCAGAGTCTACGGGGTCCTGACCCCTGGGCCTCCGAAGAAGATAATCAGGTTTAGATGGATAACAGTCATCCTAGGTGACCCAGTGATCTGCGTCTGCGTAGCCTCACCCAAACATCTTCCCTCGACCCCAGGCCCAGGTGATTGCCCAGACGCTCGAATGCATTTATCGCTGGATACCATGAGCATGGTGGACGACAGCTGCCTCTCGCCCAGCAATTTCCACGAACTGGGTAAAGGTGGGGGCGTTGCAGTGGGAGGCCGCGTCCACAGCATCGATGTCATCCTGGGTTTCAGCAAAGAACAGGACCCCTTGCTAAGTCCCGCCACGGCCCCCGGACCCCACAAAGTGAACATAGACAGCCTGGCGGAGACCGGGAAGCAGCTGGAGCCCTCGTCGCACTCGTCCTACAGCGGGCACCTTTCCTCTCTGAGAAGCAGCGGCGACACAGAGCAGCAGCAGTACCACGGTGAGTCCGGCTGTTGCTCTCCATCCTGGCAAAGCTGATTTTTGTAAGAGTAGCACCTTTTAAGACGATTTTGTTAAATTTTGTGAGCTCTTTAAGCAGTATGGATCAGCTGCTGCAGAGTTTGTTACTGAGGGTGAATCATCAAAGCTTCAAAGCATAGAGACGGTCAGAGATATTGATTATACAGCAGCAGCACTGCTGGACTGAAGTGATCTTTACTTTTTCTAACTTTAAGGATTTGAATGATGTAATGCAGAACAACGGTAGACTGAAGTTATTGATGCTGCTGGGCAAACATAATACGTTTTTATACTACCAGATAGCTGAACAGGATATTATCTGACCACAAACACAGTTCGAGCCTTTTATAGTCCAAACCTCGCTCAGGAACCAGAATAAACCAGTCAAGCTTCGTGATGTGACTGTTTTGTCGGCAGTTGTGGTAAAAAGCAGGAAACAGATCGAATGACATAAATAACAAGTGAAGCAAACATTTTAAAACACAATTAGATAAAAACAGCCACTTAAAGGACGTCACACAAACACCCGGAAGAGACTCGCAGGCCTTTAGAATCTGCTGTAAGAATCTAATAAACCAAAATCTGATTTTCAACTCTCACACACACAAAATATAGAAAATGAGTAACAGAAGCAGCTTCAAATCTGTGACGTTCAGTTATAATTACAGCTCGTATTATTTCAACAGCCTATTGTCAAAAGTCTGATCACTTTAAATGAGGTTATTCCACCTTTGCATGAAAACCTCTCACACACCGATTCAAAATCAGTGCATTAAACACCGTTGCCATGTAAAGCTGCATTAACTCCACCGTGTGGACTGAGATTGAGAGATAAATCACAGGACAAGATGGTGTAGGGGTTTATGTCCCCAAGACCAATCCCATCCCCTTGTGGAATTCCCCTAATCTTCTCTTCTGTGCAGATTAGATTGTACCGTAGTCCAATCGCTCTTTATTGTTATCGTTCGCTCCTAGAATCAAATTGAATCATGTTTAATCTGAAGCTATTTTCACACACAGGATCAGGCAGGTGGTTGGTGATTTTGTGGCAGGAACAAGAGAAAAAGTTGTTCCTGTGAAGCGGAGACGAAGCAGAAACGCTGCTTTTAAGTGACTCAGATGCAGTTTGGTTTCAGTGCATTAACATCCATCAACACCAATGACATCACTCCATCCTGTGTGAAGTCAGCCCAGTTCCTCCTGACCGAGCAGCTTGTCTGTGTTCGGTGTCAGTCGGGCCACCCCCCTCTCTTCTCCGTGCTGAGATGTTCTGCTGGCTGATAAACAGTCGGGAGGCTTCAGACCAGTGGCTGTGATGGGCTGACAGGCCAAGAGCTGGTCACTGAACCAGGCCTGACCTCTGCCTTTGTCGGAGCCTGGTCTTTGTCATAGCTGCTTAATGAGAGGTGGATAAATGAACCCCAAAACCCTGCTTTGCTTTAGCCTCGGCTCCCGTTTCTCCAGCAGAAAGACCACAGTCGACCCCCTCCCTCATCTCCATCACCGCATCCCATTAACAGAAACAAGCTAGCATTCAGATTCGTACACAGTCTGCTGAAGCTCTGAAATGTCATTCAACATAAAAGTGTATTCCTGAACATGTTATGACCTGTAGCTTCAGTCCCTTATTTCACTTCCTGCCTTTAAACATGACTGTTTTGGTTTAGAGCTGCGCTGATGAGCGATGAGGACTCGTACCAATATCAGCTTTTAGGAAGTCAAAAAATTGGGACTATAAATCAATTCTTCACAAACATACGCAGCCGATAGCTCGAGCTGTTTTACCCAAACGTGAAGACTGCCTCACTTGTGATGCACTCTCTGCTGCTAACACAGCCGAGACTGTTGTAAACCTGAGCTGGTCGTGTGATGACGGCGTTTTTAAACGACCCCGAGATTTGGAATGACCTTTTCCTGCTCTTTAAAGTTTTGAACTGTCGTTATTAAATCAGAGAAGAAGTCGTCTCATTGAGATCGGGGTCTACCCCCCACATCTCTCAGCCTGAGAAACCTGAAAAATATCTGCAGTCAGAATACAGTT